AGTGTCTACTTTCAGAAGCCATTAATCAGTTTCTTTAAAAAAATTGTTTGAAGATATGACCGATGGAAATCCTCGTTCTAGATTTTACAAGAAATTTCTAATCTTCGAAACATCGACGATATACAAAATATTGTAACTTCGTGAATAAAAATCGCAGAACAACGAGACTAAACTCATTTCGAAGCCTGAAATCTCTACTTTTACCTTATATAATTCATTCTCGTCGAAAAAATTGTTCGACGACACAGCACGCGGAAAGCTGTAGCAATTTATATGAAAGTTGAAACACGAGTTATTTATCTCCGATTTCCGTTGATTTCCGTCCAAAAAATAGAGGCAAAAATTTCGGAATGATAAAAAAAGATCGAACGTTCTGTATTTTCCGATAGCATTTTCGTGTCACTGTACCGCCGCGTTGCATCGATCAACGAATGACAACGGGGATCACGGGATGGAATTACGTCAGTTTAGGATGTTCCGCGAGGGGCGGGGTGGCGGGACGGGACAACGGATTGAAGGGGTCGATGCAGACGCATCCGGTGTACGCCGATTGGCCGAAGGACGACTGGTTGACATCGTTTTCGGCCAATCGGGCAGACTGGGCGTCGCCGCGCTGCGGTTTCCTTGCAATAATATTTGCACTGGCTCGTCTAATCCATTAAGCCTGCCATCGGACGGCGTTCAGTAAATTATTTATCGGCTCCCCTCCGCTGCCCCGCCACGGACCGAGATCTGGGAATATCCGCAATACTCCGTAGCCTTACTCCGTTCGTCTGACGTCACTGTCTCGAGCTTCCGCGACGCGTTTCGTCGCCAATCAAATCCTCCGTGACGATGCAACAACGTAAAAAGAAATCGACAAATCGATGTCCGCAATTTTGCTGTTTCCGATCGTGAACGTCGCTCAACTCGAATGACACGTGTCTCGATTAGAAGTGTGTTTGATGCACTTTCGAACGGTGTATCCGATAAGACACGCCCATTTTTTTCGTCTCACCGTTATCATACTTTATTTCGCGAGACCATCGAGCGGTGTTACTTTCGAACGACAAGCGACGTCGATTTACTGCCTGCTTCAATAAATCAGAATTAAATCAGTATTAAATTTCTAACGGCGTATAGCATTGTATAGTTTCTTTTTCTTTAATTTTGTTATATCATTTTTCCATTAGTTTTGCGTATTTTCACAGCGCAAGGAGTTCGGAAAGAGGCGACCGCGATTATTATCAGGTGCTTCGGGATCTGCGATGATCGGACTGAATAAAAATGATCGTCGAGATCGAGATTCGTGGTTAATGGTCGTTTATTGCAACGCTCGCAATCGATATAAAAAATACTGTACATTCGAAATGCACGTTGGCACCGTTTAAGGAATGGAAATCCAAGTTCTTCGTCAGCGATTACGATTAGGTTCGTCCGAGAATCGGCGTCCGAGCCAACAACAACAACAACTTAACGATAGGTGTGTATCACAATAGCAAATGATTACAAGCGAATTCAAGGCGCCATCATACGATATCATATCGACGAGCGACCGAAGATTCCTGAAAATCTTGAAGACTTAACACGCCGATTTCGCTTGAATACCCGTCGCCATCTTGATCCTGCGGCCACAATGCGACAGAATTCTCGTTCCGTTCAACGATCGAAAGAATCTCTTCTCTTCACTTTTCTTTTCTTTTTTCTCTTTTTGTGGCGGAGGACCGTTTAGAAAAATTATTTACAAGTAACACTGTCTAAGTCAATAAATTATTGCGTCTTCCGGCCATTGTTGCTTCCAGGCTTAACTAAAGAATACTTAAAACGCTTACGGACGCTCGAAATGTACACGCTGTGTTTCATGTTACAGTCTCTGGTCTGTGCGAATTATACAACAAATTAACCTAAACGTTGTCATACTATTTACAAGGATCTTTGGTTTGTTCCGCTGTATGTCCGAGCCGCCTTTGCGGCGCTCGATCGTCGCTTACGATTAAATAAACTATCTATAATACACGCTCACTATTTTTACAATGTTATACAGGAAGTGTACCAATAATCGCGACGCTCGGATGATAGAACGAACGAATTTAACGAATATTTCGTAAACGTCGACTTCGTGAAATCCTTTTTCGCCGCATTCGACGTTTTTTTTTTACCTACGTAATACTACAAGCTAAAACGCCTAATGTAACAAGGTTCTTCTCACAGGATTCGACGGAAGTGGCCACCTCGAGTTTAATTACGGCCGCCGTTTACGCGGAAATTGTTTCCTAGCCTCGGAAGAATTCCGAACGATGAATCATTTCACGAAAACGCGCGTCTCGTTTCGTAACAAAAATATTCGGCTCGGCGGTAAGGACAAGTTGTAACGATTCCGAAGATCAAAGAACAATTTTTTCAAGACGGTAGAACATCCAAGCCGACTTCTGCCCCTGGATCATTAATCATCGCGTTCCAAATGCGATCCTAACTCCCGCGCTAATGCTCTTTCTAAAACCATTCACGACGCCCGCGTACGTTCTTCGACTGTTTCATACGCGTCCAAACTGTTTCAAACGTGTCCAAACGGTTTCAAACATGCTCAAACCGTTCTAACGATAAGTGATTCATATTATACTTGAACGATCATCGGTTTGAAGCATCAGTGCGTCTTCATTTCTTCGAAAGAAGCGGTGTCAGACGAGTCAAACAGCTTCAAACAGCTTCAGACAGCTTCAGACAGCTTCAGACAGCTTCAAACAGCTTCAAACAGCTTCGAACCGTTCCAAACACGTTCTCAAACAATTCCGCCAAAAATGAGTTCATATATTTCTCGAGAAATCGCGTTCAATCTAAAATCTAAACTTTAATCTTATTCGACCGGAGAACAGTGTTCGACGATTTATAATTGTTCAAACGATTTCACTCTCTCTTTCTCTCTCACAAACACACACACACACACACACACACACACACACACACACTCTCTCTCTCTCTCTCTCTCTCTTTCTCGAGCGCTCTGTCGCGTAGAAAAATTCGAATAATTTTTTCAACAGACGATCGGGGGGGCGCCGATGGCCGACACCGATGGCACCTAATTTTTTCCCCCGAGATTCAGTGCGGCAATAAAGTCCGCTGGCGGATTTAACGCGGCGTGTCTTCGTTAAGCCGAGTCAAACGAACTTTTCCCTCCGGTTTTAAAATAAACCTCGATGTATCTGCGCTTGTAAGTCAAAACGACGCTGGACATGTTTTCGAAAAATCTTCCCCCTCGTGCCGGGAATGCGAACGACGTTATGGCTTTCCGCGCGAAAAATTCCTTAATCGAACAAAGAGCAACGTCGAATTTATTTCGGAACGTTACCAGCGTGCTACGCGCTCTAATCGTCGTTCGAGATCATCGTTGCCATTGTTTTGGGATTCTAGCGTTACCTAAAAAAAAATGTAACAGCGTCGTTGGATCTTTTCGAAGAGGCAACCTTTCCAGAGTGACAATAGATTTTTTAAAAATGCTGGTAGACCTTTTACAAAATTTTAATAGGCAGATAAAAATGTTATCGGATTTTCTAAAAATGTTTCGACATGCTTCAAAAATATCACCGAATGTTGCGAAAAGAATAATGTTATAAAAAATTGTTGCTGCATCTTCCAGAAATGTTGTGATATTTTCAGAAAATTGTTTCAGGCGTTTTCGGCGTGATTTTACAGGAAAAACGTTACACGGTTCGCATCTCGGCGACAATATAGCGTAACTTGACAGTGGTATAATTGAGATCGAGGCTCGCGAGAGCACAGATATTAGCAGTGTCAGAGAAGCTAGATAACGGCGGGAATCCTCTCGGAAAGGAAGAAAGCATGCCCCCAGGCCGACTTATCGGCGCCGAACCGCTCGTTAACGCATCTCTCCCGTTGTTTTGTTTAAGTTTCATCTACTCGCCGGCCACGGTTAGGGCTTGTTTCCACAACGCCGGGACGCCGGCTGCTGACTCGTCGTAAGAAAGGGAAAAAAACCTCGTAAAATTGTAGCAACGACGCTACTGTCCGCCTTTTCGGGCGGATGGGGAGGAGGGGGGGGGGGGGACCCGGCGCGTCTGGGGAATCCGTTTCGACTCGTCGTCTCTCCCTTTCGTCCGTGCCACCGGATTATTAGGCTGATGCACAAAAACGTCGCTTTCTTTAATCGAATCACAGCCAAACTTAAACACGGAAATTCTCTGAAATCATTTTTACGCATTTCGCCGTTCGGTAATTTTGATATATTGCGCTTCGAAGAATTTCTTCGAATGTATTTCGACGAGCAGAGTTTCAAAAATTTATCGTTTAGATATTTAAAAAAGAAATATCTCTGTATTCTTCTAAATCTAGGATTATTATTATTAACACTAAACCAACCGACCTGTAATGATGATTAGCGTGCATGGACTCGTAAGAGCGAAAAGATAGAATTCACTTGGATTTTGTAAAGTTTTCATTACGAGACTTGTTTCAATAATATGATTTATTCAATCATTCTCCACGAAGAAGTCTCCAAAGTTTGTAAAGTATCGTAAAATAAAAGGTCGGTCATTTTGACCGTGGCAGGTTTAGTGTTAAGTCTAGGAGAGCATTATTGTTCTGTATTTTTATAAATCTAGGATAGAGAAGAATATATTTTCGAGGGTGTGATCGCGAGAGCGACATCTGTACGCACAAATCCGGCTATTTTTGACGATTACAGATCGAGCCTAACGTTTTTAACAACGAGAATATCGAGACACAGTTTGAATTCGCGAGATCTTCGCGCCATTCGTGGCGAACATGGCGGACGGTTCAGAGAACAGCTGTTGTCGCCACGTGATTAATTCGACAGCGAAAAATCGAAGAACGGAGGCGCGATATCGCCGGCCGTTGCAACGAATGACATTCCAAAGATGGCAAAATTGTATTCATCATTTTGATAACTCGTGAAAATTTCCAAGAAAATGATCGCCGACCGATAACGACGCGCCTCGCGAGATATTCTTTTCGAACGAGCGAACGAAAATACTTGATACAAAATCTTGTAATCGAGATCCGCGAGGCGTGTATCAACGCGCAGTTTTGTATTTCGCGTGACTCTGAGGATTGATACCGACGGCGGTGGGCTGATTGCCGCGTATTTGGCCGACCGGCCAAGCTTGCCCGTACCGTTAATAGACCGGCGGGGTCCGGGACGCGGTGAAATTATCGGCTTACATTATTGCGGAGACGAACGGGTTGCCTGATCTACAGCGTCGCGAGATCAACAGCCGCGATTCGATTTCAAAGGACCGCGAGTGGGCGACGAGTGATCGCTGTTAATTAGTCACCGGCTGATCGAACGAAACGCGACGCCGCGCTCTGCTCGCTTCTAATCCTGGACCGCCGCGCTTTCCTTCCGCTCATTCTTCACCGCGCGACGTTTCTCAGCGAGCTATTTCGCGATGTCGCTCGCCTTGATTTTCGAAAGTTCTCTCGCGCGATAACAACAGGGATCTACCGAGATCGCGGGGCGCCTTGAACACGGATAGACGGGATCGCCGAGCATCTCCGATCGGCTCGGACTTGTTCGAGACGCCCGAATTCCGATACTTTCGAGCCAGCGAAAATAGGAAATCGTTGTTGGGAGGGCTGTGCTCTTTTTTACCTCGACGAGATGAGAATACTGATGACGGGGCGTGATGGTGCGTTCGGCCGCGAGATGTTCAAACGTTCGCGTTCCAGTCGTCTTCCATCCTCCAGACGCTGAAGGCGTACGACAGCTTCTCGTGCGCCATGTAACTGCACGACGAGGAGGTGATCTCTCTGGCTGCTAGCACTGCACCCCGCGGTGTTCTTTCGCCTGCGGACACGGTCATACTAATTAATCATTATGTATCTATCCGCTGAGAATGTTGTTGCAATTACAAAACTAATTTCTATCAGAATTTCACGTTAATCTACGCACACGATAACTTCTGTAACCTCGCGAATAAAAATCCTAGGGTAGTCTATCTTAGCTCGTTTTAAAGGGAAAAGTCTCCACTTTAACGTGACTGTATCGAATTTTATTGAAAACATTTGTTTATCAAGCTACAGAGTGGAGAACGCTAGGTAATTGCTGTTCCAGTGCTGCAAAGGTTTGGAAATTCGAACGATTCTACAGACTTCTGTAATTTCGTGGGAAAAAATCCCAAGGTGGTCTGCCGTGGCTCATTTTAAAGGAAAAAGTATCTACTTTAACACATATATGCTGAATTTTTCCGAAAAAATTCTTTCATCGAGCAACAAGCTGGAGAACAGTGGACAGTTGCTGCTTCAATGTCGCAAAAGTTTATAAATTCGAGCAATTCTTCCAACTTCCGTAATTCCGTGAGAAAAAATCCTACGGTAATTTATTATAGCTTATTTTAAAGCTGAAAGTCTCTGCTTCAACGACCGTGCATTGAACTTTCTCGAAAAAATTTGTTTATCGAGCTACGAACTGGAGAACGCTGTACAATTGCCGTTGTAACGTTGCACAGGTCTGCAACAATTTCACGGACTGAAAAAAATTCGTTATCGAAACGACGTTAAAGGGACGTTATAGAGGGAAGATTTCTCTTCGAAACGACGCCAGGTACACCGCCGTACGATCTTTTCTCGCGCGGATACGCCAGTTTTTCGAGATCGATGTATCGGGGGGTGCTCTCCGGAGACATTGCGGAGGACAAAAATGAACTGCGCCAGGGAACAGGACAGATACCCGACTAATTATTTCCAAACAATCCGGAGAGCCGACTGATCAAAGAGTCAAGAATATCACGACGTAGGAGGAGAAGGAGGGGCCCGAAGAATGCGCGGTAAAAAGAATCCGAGATGCGCGGCAGTGAAACAAGAGAAGAAACTGTCAGGGCGCATCAGCGTCGCGGAAAGCCAAAAGGAGGATCGCCCTGGCGGATGGTATTTGCGTCCGAGTTGGTGAAAAGGGACCAATCTTCGCAACTGTTAGCGTCCCGATATCTTTAGTCACCTGGAGTTATGGTATATCGTCGCCATTTGGCGAGTGCCGGCCAAAGCCTTGTACTCTGTCAGCCGGCGAATGAAACCCGCGCGCGAGCGTGATTTAGACAGCCACTCTGCGTTATACCAGTAATATGAACAGAAACAAAAATGGCTATCCTAAATCCTGAACGAGTGGCGTATTTTAATTCTATATTTTAATCGTGTGGCAAGTGTAACGCGTGCGACTGTAATTTGATTAAATCCAAAATCTTTGTAGAATTCGAGTTGCCATGGATTTCGGAGAGACTAGAGAGCATGATCCAGGGAGCATGATGTAGAATCTAGGGAGCATGATCTAGAATCTAGGGAGCACGATCTAGAATCTAGGGAGCACGATCTAGAATCTAGGGAGCATGATCTAGAATCTAGGGAGCACGATCTAGAATCTAGGGAGCATGATCTAGAATCTAGGGAGCACGATCTAGAATTTAAGGAGCACGATCTAGAATTTAGGGAGCACGATCTAGAATCTAGGGAGCACGATCTAGAATCTAGGGAGCACGATCTAGAATCTAGGGAGCATGATCTAGAATCTAGGGAGCACGATCTAGAATTTAAGGAGCACGATCTAGAATTTAGAGAGCGTGATCCAGAGAGCTCAATCTAGAATCTAGAGAGCTCGATCTAAAATCTAGAGAGCTCGATCTAAAATCTAGAGAGCTCGATCTAAAATCTAAAGAGCACGATCCAGAATCTAGAGAGCACGATCCAGAGAGCATGATAGATCAATCATCGTGAACGTCTACGGAAGGCAGCCAGCGTTTCTTCCACGGCAAGCTAGTTTTCTCGAGGGCCACGGGGATGATCTACGGGATTTTCCTGTTTGNCGATCTAAAATCTAGAGAGCTCGATCTAAAATCTAAAGAGCACGATCCAGAATCTAGAGAGCACGATCCAGAGAGCATGATAGATCAATCATCGTGAACGTCTACGGAAGGCAGCCAGCGTTTCTTCCACGGCAAGCTAGTTTTCTCGAGGGCCACGGGGATGATCTACGGGATTTTCCTGTTTGCCTAACCGCGACCAGTTTGTAAATACTGTTCGAGTGGGAAGGGTAGCACACTCCACTACTGTGTAGACGGTTAGGCCACTCGGGCAGAAGGGCTCCCGTCTCCTGAATCGGCGGACCCCCTTCTTCACGGGGGTCTGTATAATTCCGAGACACCGTAAACAAACCTGGAAATGGCCGGTCGAACACGTGCTGCTGCGTGCCGACGGAAGACGGCGTAAACGAAATTTCAGAACTGTCTCTCTATCTACGAACACGCCGGCACAAATCAAGATCTTCTCGCGACAACGATCGAGCAGAGATCTAGAACGTGAAATCCGAACGTGCAGAAATTAAATAGATTCGATAGTCGATGTGCGAAGGACTTTTATTGTCGCAACGTTGTTGACATTCGGCAGCTCGCAAGAATCGTATTCAACCCCGTCTCTCGCAGCATTGTTACGCACCGACGACACCTCGCAGCGTGAAATTTCATTCGAAGTCTTGCAACATCGTCGAAACGGCTGCGTTTTCTATTACAGAATTTTAATCGTGAGCTATGCAACGTCGTTGAATTTCTAACGCGCCGCACCGTGGAGCTTTTATCGAGAGTTTCGCAGCGTTGTTGCTCTTCCAAGGAAGGTATCGTCTAAAACATTTTGAAAACCGTCCCTTGAAAAGTCCTCCCTCATCTACCCCCTCCTCGCACACCCCCTCTCGTCAACCATCTGCGTCCACCATCGAAGACCTCGGACAAAACCAAATCCAAATCAACTTACCACTTTCATCGGCAGCGTCCCCGTTCTCCATGTTGCAGTGCAGCACCTGGAAGAGGAAGTCGATGTACCTCGTGGCCAGCTTCAGGGTCTGAATCTTGCTGAGCTTGTCGCTGGGCAGGGTCGGTATGATCTTCCTGAGGGCGGCGAAAGCCTCGTTCAGGCTCTGGGTCCTCTGTCTCTCCCTGACGTTGGCCATCACCCTCTGGTTCTGTATCTCCTCGAAGGTGGCCCCGCTCTTCCTCCTGACCTTGCTCTTCGTCGACGAGGCGGTGCTCTCGCCCTCGGACTCGTCGTTCACGCTGGTCTTCCTCTTTCTCTTGCTGCAATTCGCGATCCCCTCGTCCCGGAAGTTCTTCGTGGAGGAGGACGCCTCGGTCATCTGGGTGATCTCGACGGGCTTGTACCTGTGCTGCTCGACTTCCGGCTTGTACTCCATCACGTCCGGCTTGTACTCGACCGTTTCCACGTGGTGGTAGCCTTGCGGATGCCTGGGCGGCACCTCCTCGCCGCCGGACGAGTACATCTGCGGCGACGGCGTCAGATAGAGGCTCTGCTCGTGGTCCCTGCTATGATCCGAGAGGAATCCGGGCGAGTTGCCGTGCAGCCGTCGCTCGTACTCGGTGACCTCGACCTGCAGGTCCCTGAGGAGCTTGCCGTTGTGCTGATCCTGGTACCTCTTGGCCTCGTCCGGCCCGTCGTACATCAGGTAAGCACCCGGCTGGTAGATCTGATGGTGATGGTGATGGTGCGGATGATGGTAGCCGGGCAGGTCCCTGTGCTCCGGCGGGCTGCTCAGGTCCATCAGGTGCGTCGGCGGCGAGAACCTCTCGTAATGGTCCGGCGAGTTGCTGGCCGAGCTGCCGGCGCTGTGCGGGATGCCCGAGCTGTCGCTGTTGTCCAGGATGTAGATGCCCTGCAGACGCTGCGACTGGAGGCTCGCCGGCTGGCTCTGCATGATATCGGATGGTCACCTTGCTGGGAGAACTTGCACTCCGTCTGGGCCAGGCTTCAGGGCCTTCGCACTGTCATAGCACCACTGACACTCGGACCTCGGGGACTCTGGCTGCAGAGCGACTATGGGACCGCTCTGGAACGACTCCCGGGGACTCTGATCGCGAGGAGTCTGACGAACCTCTGAACCACTCCAAAACGATTCTAAAAGGCTCTAAAACGACTCCGAAAGACTCCGGATTCTAAAAATCTCTAAAAAGGGCTCTAAAAGTCTCTAAAAGACTCTGAACGGGTCGAGGATAATGTAGGAGCACTGCGGTTTCTGTGACGGCACTTTCGACATTGGAAAATCGAGTGAGACCATGAGATCTTTCGATGGTTCCGTCTCGAATGAAGGCGCCGAATCGTCGGTGCTACTTCACGTCGTCCAGGGTCCCGCCTCTATTAGTGGAAGGGAGCCCCACCAGGTCCCACTACCCCCACCCTGCCGCACGGAGCTCGCCGCCAGGTCCCACCGAACCGGCTTTATCAGTCGGAGACTCCCACTCCCGGTCGACGCGTCTTATGCTTCTTTGCTCGGCGGTTCCAGCTTCTGGTGGGGAGTACGACGAGTTCTTCCAACTGCGTGGAGAATTGGGGAGCGGAGTGGGGACCGTCGAGCGGCGGAGAAGCAAGGATGAGAAAGATGACGAGAAGAATGTTCTCCGAGATCTTGGGAAGCAACGGGGAACTTGGGGAGGAGCCGGTTTCGGGGCTGCAGGTAGACGACAGGTCCCCTAGGCGTTTTCTGTCGTGTGCGAGAGTGTGTGTTATACTTCGCACTTGTCGATTTTGCGATTTGTTAAACAGTTATACAAAATTGGCGAGGTGTTTTTTAATTGTATCATTCGCAGGTTTTGTGGAAATTGCGAGGGCGACTAGTTTCATTGAAAATAAGGAAATTGTTGTGAATAATAATGTAGAAATGTATAAATAATGATTGTATAAATTTTTTATATAAGTTTTGGTTTTCAAAGAATATTTTGTTGCGTATTCGCTGTCTTTAGTAATTGTTTGGTCCGATTTTCAACATTTACTAAAAAATGATAGCCTAAAATTTAAAGCTAGGTTATTGTTGATGATTTTTATACAAGACGAAAGCTTCGTAGAATTATAAAAAATTTGAGATGAATTCAATATCGAATAAGTAATCGCCAGTCCTCAGATTTTACTCATTTCTACGAGAAATAAAAACAAACCAAAACGATGAAAATAAAATTTGAAAGTACAGTAAATTCTCCGTAATTGACCCTTTGAAACAAAACTGCACAATTTGGGAAAAGGAGTCATTTCGCAGCCATTTTTATATTCTGCATAAAAATCCGCGTAGAATGATCTAGAATTTTAAAATTGAATCTCAAAGGTGAATAAGTTCGTTAAAGGAAAAAGAAGGAATCCGTGGCTGCAAGATGGCGGCCGCAATAGGAAGAAGGAAGATCGTTTTCTCGGGCATTCGCGTGGCACGGTCTTGTCCGAATGAAATGGTAAATCAGGAGGAAGGGGGAGGCTCGTGAAAGCTCGAAGCCGCGGAATTTATAGGCAGCTTCAAAAGAGCTTTCGTCCGTCACAACAAACACGTCCCGGCAATCCGGGCCGGCGATCCATCAAGCAGCGCCGCGCGCGATTTCGAATCGCGTGGCGCGCCGCTAATATTCGCTTCAATCCTAAGCACGCACTGCCATCAGCTATTTCGGATGGAAACGGCGCCAATATACCCTGTTAACAGCCAATTTGCACCTACGTTTCTTCATTCGTTTCACTTGCAGCAGCTTGGAAATATTTTCGGAGCACTGGCATCGTCCGCATATTTTTGGAATCGAGGAAAGCTTTGCTGGAATTTGCCCATGTTTGTCCAAGATTGCTCAAGTTTGTTTCAGCTTGATACAGTTTGATTGAAATTGTTCGAATTTGCTCTAGTTTGAACGAAATTACTGGAATTTGTTCATAGTTTGGTTAAGTTTGTTTGAGATTTCTCGAGCTTTCTTGGGTTTTAATAAGTTTCATCGAGTTTCATCGAGTTTGTTTGAGTTTGCTCGAGTTTGTTCGAGTTTTCCTGAGTTTCCTTCGTTCTATGAGTGTTCCTTGGGTTTTCTGAAGTTCTCTAGAGCTTTTCAGCTTTTTCCGAACATCGCTAAGGTCGTCTAAATGATTCTAAAATTTGCTAAAAGTTGGTACTGTTTTCTAAATTTTCCTACAATTTGCTAAACTTTATCTGGAGTTTGTCAACGTTTGCCAAAGTTTACTAGAGTTTGCGAACGTTTGCTAAAGTGTGCTAGTGTTTGTTAACGTTTGTTAAAGTGTGCTAGAGTTTGTCAACGTTTGCTAACGTGTGCTAGAATTTCGTTAGCGTTTGCCAAAGTTTACTAGAGTTTGCTAGCGTTTGCTAAAGTATAATAGAGTTTCGTTAGCGTTTGCTGAAGTATGCTAGAGTTTGTCAACCTTCTCCATTCTCTTTAACCCCACTTGCACCAACTTATAACCCATACATCAAATTTCCTCTCGTATTTAAAAATCAACAATAATTCCAAAAATATTCTGAAAATGCCAATAATTTCCCAGCGGAGTCCAATACATTTCATCGACTACCTTTAAAGATTCACAGTATATAAAAAGCAGAGGATTTTAGAGAAGACGAGACGGTTGTTCCAAGCCGAGCTTAGGCGAAAGTCAAAGGCAACGAACCAGACGAACAAAGACAGAATTTTAGCGCCATTCCAAGGCGAACTGGTCCGGTATATCGGAGCCTGTTCCTCGCGATCCCTAGCCTTGTTCTCACTGGCTCCTCGCGATATAAATATTCAACATGGCTCGTCCCTCAAGACTTCCATCTTCCTCCTTCATTCCTCCCTTTTTCTCTCCCGCCTTCTCATCTCTCGCTTTCACGAGATTCCATCGTTGATTCGGTCCTCCTCTTCGGGCCACGTTCCCCTCGATCTCGATCTCGATCGCGAAAGGATCGTCGAATCTTCTGCCTTCTTTTTTCACGTCTAACCGGTTATCCTTGAGAAACTTGGACAGCCGATGCTTAGAAACATACTGGAACCATTCTACGATAGCCGGCTTCATTGTGGTTCTCATCCAATGAAATATCAGGGACGAGACTCTAAATTAATATTTAGTAATTAATAAATTATTATATCACAGAGGTTTTTTATTATTTCTGTGAAGCGACATTGTGATTATTTGTACAAAATGTAAACCACATAATTTTGTATTATTTTATACGAAATTTAAAGCACGTAATTTTTACTATTTGTACAATATATGAAACATAACATTCGTATTATTTGTAGGATATATACTCTGTTAATCATTTTTAAATTGGAAAAGCAATTTATTCGATTACAATTGGCAAGACTATTGTCGCAATTTAAAAATAATACAAACTGTTAAAACCGAATAATATTAAAATATTAAAAAGAAGAATAAGAACCATTCGTTCGATTAATAATAATAAAACAACTGTTATGATTGAAAAATATATACAAATATTGAAATTATTTAACGCACAGTCTGCATAATAGTAGAAAAAAATATTTTTAACCCAGACGAACAATTCATTCGATTGCAAATTATGAGATAATTGCTATCATTGAAAAGCATATGGAAAAATATTCATTGTTTAACGCGAAAGGATCGAGAATCGGTTCGATCGAGTGCTAGGAGAGAAAAATTCGGTGGAAAGCGATCGCAGCCGCCATTGCCTGACCCGTGACCATAAGGAGGATGGTGGGAACAGGAAGATGCCGCGAGTTATTCGACTTTGATCACCGGCGGAGTATTATTTTGGTGTATGGCCGCGTTATTTATCGGCCTCTTTATTGGCGATCTGATTTTCAGTTGGACCCACGCCAGGATCCAGGTTCCCGGAATCGAGATTCGATGGCGAACGGACTCACGACGGCCCGCTGATGTCTTCACTTTCGATAAACGTCCCGGGGATGTTGCGCGCCGAGATCGTTAAACCCCGGCGGAACGCTTTCGACTGCAACTTTGAAGATTTTCGAACCCGATGAGAGAACGCCGACAACACGCGACTCGCCGAAACCGTAAACCCTTTCCGAAGGAACGCTTTCCTAAAGGGCGTCCGTTCGTTGCTTCGTCGCGACCGACGATTTCGGCGTTTTTAACGTTGCGTAATCGCGCTCGTTAGCGGGCCGGCTATTAATTGAACCGAAAAGTGCAATTAGAGCGGCGCGAAACGTGGAATAAGAGGCGACACCTTGAAAATTCAATTGAAAGTGTGCCAATTGGAGAACGCGAATTAGTTGGAAACAGTGAAAATTCCGGCAATATTTAGTGATGGATTGCTGGTGTCGTGCTGCACGAAATTGGCATGCGCGAACCTCGTCAAACCGAATCAACTGTTTATTGTAATATTTGTTCTAAGTAAATTCAATCGATGCAGAATTTAGTTCGCGTTTTATCAAGTATCATGTAAAATACTCCATCGTATGAATATTTTTATACCCGGTCAAACCTCGTCAAACCAAATCAATTGTTTATTATAATATTTGTTCTAAGTAAATTCAATCGATGCAGAATTTAGTTCGCGTTTTATCAAGTATCATATAAAATACTCCATCGTATGAATATTTTTATACCTGGTCAAAACAAAAAAAAAAACCTCCTCAAACCAAATCAACTGTTTATTATAATATTTGTTCTAAGTAAATTCAATCGATGCAGAATTTGATTCGTACTTTATCAAGTGAATCATAAAATTCTCCATCGTATAAATTTGAGCGTACAAGTCACCGAGATCTACGAGAGGTACTTTTTAAATTTTCGTTATAGGCTAAAAAAAAGAAAGAAAAAAATTTAAAAACGAAAGTTATTTATTTTTTCGTTCTTCCAAATAATAACAAAATTTAAAAAAATAGCAATTTGCTCGTCGTTTAATCGACTAATACCGCTCTCATCTAAAAACAAATTCAGTTCACTTTTAAGAAAAGTTATTGCATTTTTAATGTTGCGAGTAACTGTAAACTCAATCGTTGCCTAATTTAAAATTGTGCTTAGAGAATTTGAGAAGCACCGACCCCGGAAACACGTGTTCCTAAAATCCCTGAAGCATTGCCGGAACGTCGTGAAATCCGGAGAACAATCGTCAGCCATAAAGAAGCAACAAAATCGTTCGGCGAAGTGTACCTGCGAGATCACCATATAAACACCGTCGAGGCGTATTGCCTACCTTGTACTAGTCACTTGTCCCTCGAAGGAACCCCTGCACATCCCCAGCAAGCACGCCACCAGCAAGGGACAATGAACGTGGTAGAAAGAGACAAACCAATCGTCTGGTTGAGAGATTACGCGTAGTTAAAACGGTACGTACTCACGGACCTGTCCCTGTTCAT